ACTTGGCATCTGAAAATACATTTCCTCAAAGGTATTTTTAATCTGAAAAGAGCTTCACTGAGTGAGAAGTAGTGTTAAGAGCACAGCAGACAGTTTCACTTTCACTTTCAGTTTCACCAAGAGCCTGCAGGAGACATGGGCGGGGTGTGTGGGGAAGGGGGGTGGGGTGCGCTCTGCCATGAGGAAGCTCGGCTTAAAGACACGTCCCAGGGGTGTTTCTGGTCCCCAAAGTAGTTTCTGGTCCTCACCTGTCGTTTTGCTCCTCAGCATGTCTTCCTAAAAACGCTGCAGGATTTCTCTCAAACATACATGAATGAGTCAAAGCAAGGCTTTGGGCATGTTTTTAATGAGAGTATAACATTATAACATTATATAAAACTCAAAAAAGTTGATTTTACATGACATTGCCCCTTTAAGTTCAATATTTTTCTGCAATTTGGGCTACTGTTTAGCTTATTTTTTTGTCAATTTTAGCTTTTTTCTGTTCTTTTCTGCTATTCAACTAATTTCTACTTCGACTTCTTTCAGTTGATTTCTGTTAATTTTAGTTTTTTCTGCAATTTCGGCTACAGTTTAGCTGTTTTGTTTTATATTAAATTTTTTCCGAGATAAGTTCACATTTTGCTGGTGATTTCAGTTTCTTTTTACCTAATTCAGCAATTGTGCCTCATCTGATTTTTGTTTAGCTAACTTCAGCTTTTTTAGCTACATTTTAGTAATTTTTTTGCACTTTTTGCCAGTTTTAGCTAATTTACTACAAATTGCAACCTTTTTGTACTCCTCTTCTTCATTTCTGTTTTGTCAAGTTTAGTTGACACATTTTCCACATCACCACAACAGGTTTACTGTTTGTTTGGAAACTTTATTATAATCCTTAATAAGTCATTTATTGAAGCGTCAACACAAAGCCGTGACATGAAACCAGTCAATTCTCACCTGGAATCGAACACAGGGTTGGTGTAGGTGGGAGGGGAGCACAGCGGCTGAGCTCCTGCACTGTTTGGGGGGACGGGGAGGCCCACTTTCTTGCCCGTTCCTGGGACACCATCTGTGGAGGGCAGATGAACATTTTAACCTCCTCGTATCTGTTTTGTGTGTAAAGAACACACTCCTGCAGCTTTAAATGCACGTTTTCTTTCTGAGCCGTCAGATTTGTGTAAATGTGAGTAAAGTTTATTGATCTGGACCGGAGCGAACTGCAGCCACGCTGAGGCCATATGTTGTCCGAGGCTAGTTAGGAACGCTGGCTGCTCAGTAATCCCTTCAGCCAGCCAGATTTAAGAGGCTATTTTTGCAGGCTCTTAGTCTGCGGCTCGGGCTCACTGATAAGTAGTTTCTCTCCCTTTGTGTTTTTATTGTTTGTCTCATTGTCTGTTTTATCTTTCCCGTAGTGAGCTAAATGGCACCGTATATAAGGGAAGGAGCTAAATGTGTATAAATGAGAAGCTGCAGCAGATCGACAACTCAGGCTCTCTGAAACGCCTCCTGTTTTTGTTTAATTGAATTAGAGGATAATTAGTGGGTGTACCTTCTCCATCCAACAGGAAGCAGGTCAGCAGGTGAGGACACACCTCCTCCAGAACAGAGCAGAAGGAGCTGAAGGCAGCGGGCCCCTTGGAGGTCAGGTGGTCCAGGAACACCTCCGTCCGTCTCCTGCCGGACACCTGTCCCACTATCTCCTTGTACTCCACCAGTGAGAAGACCTTGTCGAACACCAGGTAGGGAAGCACGGCGTTGACGTCCAGCTCACTCAGGATCTGCTCTCGGTGCTCTTTGAGGATCTTGGCGGCCCACTTCTTCTTCCGCCTGGCGCATGGCCTCCTGCCAGCTTTTTGCGGCTGCTGCCTCTTCTGCTTCCTGGCGAACCACTTCTTGGTGCCGCCGCTGAACATCTTCAAGTCGAGGAAACCCACTAGAACTTCTTCCGCGGCTCTGTCAACGCAGTTCCCGAAGGAGAGGAGGCGCATATTTCATGCCAGAGAAGAGACCATGCCAGATATGTTCGGAGAGCCTCTCTCTTTGTTGTTGTCTGAGTCGTTTATCTGGGGCAGGAAGAGACAATCTGGACACTAGCTGATTTCTAGCTGGGTACTTAGAGACTCTAAGAAGATTAGCAGATGCTTAAGTGTACCGATGCCCTCACCGCTCCTCAGACAACATGTTTTGCATTAGCCAGCCAGGAAGATCAAACACTCATTGAAGCATGGGAAAAACTTCTTCATCTCAGAAAATTCTTGGAGGATAATTCAGGAACAATCATGTCCAAATGTAATGTACCTACCATAAGTTTTTTTTTTTCTGCTGGCCCACCAAAAACCCAACAGGGAATCTCAGTCCATTGCTTTTACTTGAGGAAAAAAAATAGGTATAAAGTGAATGAGACGTGCAGTTAAGGAGCCTCCTGCAGCACTTCATCAACCCATTGATCCAACAACCATCACCTTCACACTTACCGCTGTGAACGTGACGCCTGATTAAACCAAGATTAAAACATTTCGTCTCGTGCACTGACCCATCACGCCGGCACCGAAAGAGAAGCGTTTAGACATAATAAGATGGAGCAAGGGTGTTAAAAGAGGTTGATGTATTGTACTGAAAAATCCATATTATAAAAAAAAGCAAATGCAGCAGAAACTCAGTTTGACCTTGAGTCACTTTTTTCTCTCTGCTGTGAGAGTTGAGGATTGTTTGATTTTTACCAGAAGAGAGCGCCATTGAGTCAGAACAATTAAATCCTCAATAAGAAATCCACCAGTGTTAAAGTTTTTTTTTTCCATCCTGCTCAGAAAGCTCACTAGTCCTCTCTGATATCAACTCATTTGAGATGCATTTATTGAGCAAACTAATTTGTAAAGCTACTTTAAAATAGAGCCAAAACTTTAATACTACAGTTAGGGTTGCAAATGCTTAATAAACACATTGAACACCCCACAAAAAAGGCAATTCTTCAAAAAATAATAAAAATAATAATAACCTCGTCGCTCTACCAACCAATCAAATCTGAGTTTGGATGATTTAAATTTATTTCTAAAGTTTGCAGCGGCAGAAAGAACCACAAGCAAAATGTTTCCACTGCAGAAAACCCCCTTAAATAATAAAACCTTAACAGGTAAAATATTATACTCAGTTTTATTTGCATCAAACACCAAATCAAAATGTTATCAACTTCTAAATATTTTATACAGTAGCGTAATATCCATTGTACAGAATAATGGAATTCAAAAACTGATTTGTACTTCTTACATTTAAGTCAAACAGATAAATTAGAAGACAATAGAATAGAATAGAAACAGCCTTTATTTATTGTCCCGCGTGGGGAAATTCAGGTGTAATCGCAACAGCAGATACATACATCAATCCACAGAAACAGTATATTGCTATGTGACATTATTGATTGGAGCAATAATAATAATAATAATAAATTATTCAATTTATAAAAAAAATGATACCTTTGTGAATAATACAGAAGAAAATTAGGGCTACAGAGCACAAAGTTCTGACTTTTCTCTCAGAATTTTAAGTTTACAGAATAAAGTCAAAATTCTGGGAAGTTGGAATTCTGACATTTTTTGCTCATAATTCTGAAATAACTCAGGAAAAAAATGTTTTGTTCTGTGGCTCTAATTCTCTTTGTAGATAAATTTCTTCAATTGTAATTATTGTAACAATAAGATTTAAAGTGAAAAACTACAAAGAAGAGTTTAATCAGGTGAATCAAAGCAGCCATCCTTTCTGTATTCCAACATAATCAGCCCAAATCTAACAATGACTTCAATAATTTGATATTTAAATACTACTGATTAAAAGTCTTTTTGTATTTATTGTAACAGTTCAGCTCAGAGCTGCTCAAAAGTTTTCATAGTGATGGATGAAATGAGCCTGATCCCTCTTGTTCATCTGCTGACAAGCTTTCTCCACGTTTTTGGTCAGTCCAGGTGGTCCACAGCTGAACACACCGATTTTACCCACCTGACAAAGAAAAACAAAACACATTTACACTTAAAAAAAAATCCAGGCTGATAAACAGGGCACAATAATTGAAATAAAACGACAGAGTGTCTCCACTTCCTTCTGGTGTTCAAAACTGAAGCTGGCAGGATCCACTTTACTTAAAGTCTCACCTACTCCACCCCAACACACCGTAATGGTTTACTTAGACATCAAAAAACAAGTTTTTATTAAACATATTAGAACATTTGAACATATAGCATCGAGGTAAAAAAACAAAACAAAACAAAAAAACCTACGAATCAGCATTTTCCTGATTTTAATCTGGGAAATTCGCCATTCAGTTATAAAGTCCTAAAGCTTCTACTGCAGTGGCCTACAGGAGGCACTCAAGCTGTTTTGGATTCAACTTCAGCGCTGCGTTCCTGTGTCTGGTTCCTGAGTCTGGTTTCTGAGTCTGGTTCCTAAGTCTGGATCCTGTGTCTGGTTCCTGAGTCTGGATCCTAAGTCTGGATCCTGAGTCTGGATCCTGAGTCTGGTTTCTGAGTCTGGTTCCTGAGTCTGGTTCTTGAGTCTGGTTCTTGAGTCTGGCTCCTGTGTCTGGATCCTGAGTCTGGATCCTGAGTCTGGTTTCTGAGTTTGGTTCCTGAGTCTGGTTCCTGAGTCTGGTTCCTGAGTCTGGTTCTTGAGTCTGGCTCCTGTGTCTGGTTTCTGTGTCTGGTTCCTGTGTCTGGTTCCTGAGTCTGGTTTCTGAGTTTGGATCCTGTGTCTGGTTCCTGAGTCTGGTTCCTGAGTCTGGTTCTTGAGTCTGGCTCCTGTGTCTGGTTCCTGTGTCTGGTTCCTGAGTCTGGTTTCTGAGTTTGGATCCTGTGTCTGGTTCCTGAGTCTGGTTCCTGATTTGGATCCTGTGTCTGGTTCCTGTGTCTGGTTTCTGAGTTTGGATCCTGAGTCTGGTTCCTGTGTCTGGTTCCTGAGTCTGGTTCCTGAGTTTGGATCCTGAGTCTGGTTCCTGAGTCTGGATCCTGAGTCTGGATCCTGAGTCTGGATCCTGAGTCTGGTTCCTGTGTCTGGATCCTGAGTCTGGTTCCTGAGTCTGGATCCTGAGTCTGGATCCTGAGTCTGGATCCTGAGTCTGGTTCCTGATCTACAGCAGGCGGACGGTTCGTACAGATGAGTGGACTGACCTCAGGGTGAACTTCCTGCAGCGAGCTGAAGAACGACACGAATGGCGGTCGGCCGAAGTGCGTGACGGAGCGCAGGCCGGTGAAGAGGCTGCGGTTCCACACCTTCTGGAAGTGGCGCTCACACACATACTGAACACACATTACACACAAATAATGATAAAAATGAGTAACTGGGTCAAAATAGGTAGATGTAGAGATGAAGAAGCTTTTTAAAATACAAATGTAAAATGTCTGCATTACATTGGGTGAAATTACAGGTGAGATTTTGATGCTTTTCTTTCTACGCCCCTGCTGCATTGTATTGTGGGAAATTAAGGCCCACAGTTTTCATATCACCTAGTTTGTAATAAAGCTGGCCTATTCAACTGGCGGCCCGTGGGCCACATCCGGCCCGCTAAATTATTATTTTTTCAATATTTTTACTTAATTTAATGTAAAAATTTATTTCAAATGATTTGTACCGTATTTATTCAAGTATATTACGTAAAATTAAATCCATAAAATCATCCATAAAGTTGGGGGGATAGTACTATACTCGGATAAATATTTTTACTTATGTATTTTAACTGAAATATTGGCTTCATTCACAAAATGCCTGAGTACATAAATTAGACCGCGTCGTAAAAAGCATTTGAAGCAAACGTACCTGATACTCCTCCGTGCTTCAGAGCGAGATTATAACAGATCCAGGCAGGCGACATGATGTGAAAAAAAAAGGGGGGGGGCAGTCCAGCACCTTAGTAATGATAGCGAACTAATGACATTAGCGTGCGACTGAGCCGCTCCTCGAACAACAGCAGACACATGTTCTTCTGTAATGGCTGCCATCTACTGGTGTTCTGAAAAAGTTTGTATCCCTGAAAAAACGTTTCCCAACCAGAGGGGATGCTCACGAGTAGGAAGTAATCTGCTTTTGCCCCACAAGATGGTCCAAATCTCATGTGAAGTCTCTGACTTTGTGTTGGCGTATCCTGGTGGACTATGTGTAAAATGCCAGAATTCATGATACTGCTACAGCTGATATATATTTGTTGTCAAAATACCTTTTAGTACATATGTTGTTAAAATAAAA